GGTTTGTTTCAATATATGCATCATTTACCTTTTAGTTGAAATATGACCAATTTACCATTTCACATTTTATTATGAATATTGATTATGAAACTAATGGTTAATCTCTCTTTTGATTGTGATCTTAGCAGCTTAAGCTACATATATATATATATCAATTGGCTATGTTTTTCAAAACCTTGTATAAATCGATTCTAAGTCTTTTTGATTTAACAAAAAAGGGGAGAAATGTTATGTTTTAAGGGAGAAGTGTTATAGTAAGGGAGAGTAATTTTTCAAAATTGATTTCAAATTTTAGAAAATCTTAAATTAACACAAATGTTTTGTTATATCAAAAAGGGGGAGATTGTTGAAAACATTTTTGTATTTCGATATAACAAATTAGTTTAAATGAATTTTAAGATTTTACAAATAATTTTCTAAATATATTCGATTCAATTAATCGAATATCAAATTATTACTCCAAGTCTATTAAGATCAATTTCAAAACCTTACTAAATGTGTAAAATTGTGTTTTATACTTAATATATTTTTTAAAACAATTTTCACAAAGTATTTTGAATCAAAATCAAGCCTAAAATCAATTTTTCAGAGTGATGCACTGATGCACCAATCCATGCATCGATGCACCATGAATTAAATTGAACATCGAATGCATTTCATGCATCGATGCACTTACCATGCACCGATGCACTAAGGATTTTATGAAAACATCGAATGCATTTGATGCACTCTGGCTATTTTGAAACATCGAATGCACTTGATGCATCGATGCACTCTTAGTGCACCGATGCACTAAGGGTCCAACGGTCAAAATATTTGAATTTTACACTGATGCACCGATGCACCATGGGTATGCATCGATGCACTGACGCTCCCAACTGTTTTAATTAATTGTTTTCACACTTAAACGACTCTATTGACTCCACTAATCATCCTCAACGTTCAGAAGTGATTCAAGGTGTATTTAAACAAGCTTAGAAGTCATTGATCAATAATAAGAAACATCAAGCAACTAGAATCAAGAGAGAATCAAAGAGAAAGCATCAAACCTCAAGTTTGAGCATTTCAAGCCTATTTTTCATTCAATATTCATTTTTCTTTCAAGAACACTTATTGTGCTCAATTTTATTTATTATTGAGTGTTCTTTCTTTGTTCTAGAATTGTGCAAACATATTTTCCTTGTGAGGTTTTTCTTGTAAGTTTGCAAATTTGTAATCTTCCCTTTGAGAAAAGAGTGTTCTCAAGAATTGGGGTATATTCTTGAGGGAGTTGTAAGGTTATCTCTTTGGCCTCAAAAGAAAGAAAAAATTAGTGAATTTGTTGGAAAATCCTTAGTGTGGATAGCTAAGGTAGTGGACGTAGACTTTGTTGAGAAAGTCGAACCATTGTAAATCGTTGTGCAATTACTTTCAATTTTTTGCAAAAGCTTCCACCAAACTTTTAATTGCCAATTCACCCCCTCTTGGCTGATTCCATCGATCGATTAACTCAACAGTAGATCTACAAAAAAAATTGATGCATAAAATGAAATGTCTATAACAATCCTCTCTAGACCCAAGAATTACTTCGTGTCACAGAGATGTCACGACCTCTTCAAGGGATTCAAGCTAACTCGTTTAGAGTTAATATATGAGACAAGTGGTGTGACTGTGGGGTTTTTTCAAGCTCTGAAGTATTCATGCTCCCATGTCATAGCAACTTGTTCTCATACCCATCAAGACTATAACCGTTTTGTGGATCTCGTATACCGATTTTCAGAAGTATTTAAGGTATATGAATTTGAGTTCCCTCATAGGTAATGAGAAAAATCCTAAGGAGGTTCAAAATTGACTTTCGATTGTGCCAGATCCGTCCTTATTAAGGAAGCTCAGTCATCCAAAATTCACTCGAATTCATTGTGATATGGATATTCGGGAGACATCTAGTGAAAACAAAAGATGTAAGCATTATAGAAACTTAGTACACAATAGGAAAAAAATGTTCATCTCTTTTATAATCAAGTAATTGTTGATGTTGTGATAATGTAATTGTTGTTTATGAAACTAAATTTGTGTTATTTATTTTTTATTTACTTTCAATTAATGTCATTTGAGCATCATCGAGTAACGGGCTACTCAAGTGAAAATTAAATAAAAATATTACAAACTAAATACAAGAAAACAATACAATTCAAACAATTAAATAATAAAAACATTAACAAACAAAATAAATAAAAAGTTCATAATTAAATGGAACTTTACAATTGCTGGTAAACAAAGAAAATTAAATAAAAACATTACAACCTAAACAACTCCATCGATGTCTGCGTCTTGAATGTGTTCCGTAAGGCGGTGGTTGTATGTGTCGATGAGGATTTCTTTGTATAACTTGTTCTTCCTCCTCACTCTCATCATCATCATCATCAGGAGCATCTATATTTTGTTGATGAGAGACAGATAACGATGTAGCACCTCTATAGAATAAGGACCCTGGAGGTGTATGGTTGACTATCCCACTGATAATAGAAAACTGTAAAAATTACGAACACCGACATTGATGAGTGCGAAAACTGAGCCGGAGGTCTCTGTGTATGTGGTGAACCTTCACCCGCTAAATAAGCAGTATATGAACCTAACGCTGGATCTACAAGCATGGAAGTATAATATGATATGGAAGCGATAGCGTCTTACCCGGATGCAGTGGCATCTAAAATAGATGCGGTGCTGTCTGAAACGATTGTATAATGTACATCAATGTAGACGATGGCTGTTGTGATAGTTTTGGTGCTGCAGCTGAGGACGAGCCAGAAGCGCATACTCTCCGTCCAAGAGCAATACCACGCCCAAGACTAGAGAAGAATGAGACATCCGCTGATAGCATTATTCAATAATCAGTTGCTCGACACATTTCCCTATACATAAATACCAAAACTGTGGAGCCCCAATTGAGTGCGTCGACAATGTGAAAATTTGTGAGGTGACACAACCACATACAATGAACTTGGTTGCGTGATTTGTCAGGCATCAGGATCCCTCTTATGAGTTGTAATATGCAAGCCCGTGCATACATTTTAAATTGTTCCTCGAAGGCGTCACGACTCAAATGTTGAAAAGTTGTATCCAACCAATTTAACGGTATTCGACCACCATTGAAATTTGGCGGGACATCTCTAAGATAATCCTCGCACAAGGAATTCCAATCACCATCTGCCACCCCAGAAATCACATCCCCATCTACTAGAAGCCCCAAATATATAGAAACATCCTCAAGCGTAATAGTACTCTCTCTACACTGTAGATGGTATGTGTGTGTCTCTAGTCTCAACCTCTCAACCAGTGCAAAAATAAGGTTGGGTTCAAGGTTACAGTACCTTTCATATTTCGCTACGTAACTGAATCTAGCCTTGGCTAAATACGACAAGACACGACTAGGTATCTCTAACTTAATGTTATGAATGAATGGATATAATATACGCTCTCTCTCCTAATTTAATAAATAGTATACATATTAAAATATAAACTAATAATAAAAAATAAAATAAATAAAATATTCACAATAAATAAAATAACAACACAATTTAAAATTGTTACTGTATCGGCAAAATACGTCGAGATATGATTCTCATCTAAACGTAGCAACCCGCCTTCCATTTTATAACTGCAAAAAGTAATAAAAAAATTAGTACAATAAAATTTCATAAATTATTAAACTATTAAATAATTATAATATAATAAAAATATTTTACCTTCTTAATAGAAAGATTGATAATAAGAAGAATGAGAGAATTTGAGATATAAGTGTGGTTTAAGGGTTGTGTTGAGTGAGTATTTATAGGGAGAGGGGGAAGGGGGCGGGTGGTAATCAATGTAGGAGACAGATGGTTTGAAAAGGTGTGGATCATGTCATACGTTCAATGAAGGTGTTGATGGTCATCCGGGCCTTTCCTTATGTGGCGCCAGCTATGACAAAATCCCGCGAAGGCGCGACTGACGATCCGCGCTTTATTGCCACCGTGTCAGAAAGGGTGCTAGATCGGTAATATTAAGGGAGAGGGTGCCTGATAGGTAATTATTGGGTCTAAGGGTGATTTTTCAGTACAAACGCCATTTATTACGTAATCTCGTTAAAAGAAAAATAAAGAAACAAAATTGGTTAAATTGAAGCTTGAACACATGAATTAGTAGATGATTTAGACTTTAGAGCGTCATTACCAGTACACTAATTCTTATATTTACTAAATTTACTACAACATTTCATATATATCAAATATTATTGTTAGAATCCTAGAGATTAAAAAAAAAAGTAAAAGTGGCCAAATGAGGATACACACCAATATTAATTGGGTCTAAAAATATATAAATCGCTAAAATAAATTTAACAAATCATTTATAATAGAATACATTTCATATAAAATATAAACTATAGTTAAAACAAAATTTAAACTAAAAAAGAGTTAAATATTTGCATATTTTTTTAAATCAAATTTATTATTATTTCCCATTTCTTTTATATGTGTAATCATTGAGAAAATAATTATGGAAAATAAATTTAGTTTAAAAATAAAAAACATTAAATTCATTTTTTTAAAATTTAGATTAATTGTAAATTAAATTTTATATGGAATGTATTCAAATATAAATTATTTATTAAATTTATTTTAATAGTTTATATATTTTCATACTCCAATTAATCTAGGTTTGTATTAACCAATTTTGTTTCCTTATTTTTCTTAAAATTGATTAAAATAGAACATATATATTTAGTTGTAAAACTAATCGAAGTTATTTTGTTTTTGGCAGATTGCTTTTCTAGAGCTGTAATTTTGTTTGCTGTATTTTTAAGTCGGTTATGATTTAAATTCACGAGCAATTCCATTGCTTCGTTTATGGAATAACATTGGGCGTTGAATGTTGATTTACAAGCAACTATTTTGCTCGCACATCGAACTCGAACCCAAACCCATACATCTCTAACTACAGTGACTAGATCATCGAAAAAGAACGAGAATCAAATCCAAATGCACAGAAATATACTTCACAACATTAAAAAGATAATTATGCTGGAACTTATTGATCCTTTGACACATCCAAATGCAAAGAGAATGCATTTTAATTATTAGTATTATTTTTAAACAGAAGATCACGCTTTAACTTATATGCCTAAGGATCGAGAAGTTACATAACCATTTTTGCTCACAACTTCGACATTGCATAATCCAAAGCATCAACCAGAAAATCTGCACAAATACAAAACATGTAACTGAAAATGTGGTTCACTTTTTATTGGGTAAATGAGATTAATTGATCCTAATTGGACAAAGCTCAAGTAATTCGATTTGTCCTAAACAGAGCTGAGGCTTTAAAAGTGTAAAATGGTTTAGCTTTGCATCTCAAATTTCAAGTCAAGCTTGAACTCGGCTCGGTTTGACTATAACCCTATTGGAAACCTATTTGTTGAGTGTCGTCCCTACTGGAAAACTTTTTGTTGAGTTTGGCAATAAAATCAATAGAGAAAGAGAGACTTACCGGCATCATCTTTGCTGAAACACATTGGCGGCTTTATTCTGAAAACATTTCCGTGTAGTCCACCTTTCCCGAGTAAAACTCCGAGTTCTTCAGTTAGAAAAGAGAACAGTTAGCATAAATTTCTAAACGTTGAAGCAAGAGAAAGCCTATACGTTTATTATCTTATAGGCTCAAACAGGTTGATGCAATCATCTTATACATCCCTATGTCCCTCCCCTGTGGCAACGTGGGATTGTAAAAATGAAAAGAGAGGGATATGATTTCTCTAGATGTTAGTTCAGAAGATAAAGTAATACAAAATGCCTTTATTTTCTAATTTTCTATTTGAGAATTTATTCCTTAATACCTCTCATTTTCTCAAACAGGATGGCAGTTTCTGCCTTGGCCGGTGTCTTCTCCTTCCTTTCAGTAACGAGTTCTATGCCCACCATTAATCCCCTGCCTCTGACATCACCGATGACTGAAAAGGGAGGAATTAGTTAAAAAAAATGTGAACTCGGTTTACTTGATAGAACTAACTTGACATTGGAAAAGAACACGAACAAATATAAACTCAAGTTAGAACTTTGTATTCCAAAAACTTTGTTAAACCACAAAGGACCATTTTAATGCAATTCCTTTTGTCTAAGAACTGAAATTTTTTCTGTTCAATGTAATTTAAAATTGCAAAATAATGGTTGGTGAAATTGGCAATAATACTGTATTTAGAAACAATGCAAAGCAAAGGGGATTTAAAGTGCTAAATTGTAGAATAATTACTCTCATGTTTTTCCTGTAAAGATCTCAAGCGTCCAATCAAGTGAGAACCAACATCAGCACAATGTGCTTGACGCTTCTCCTTGTCTATCACCCTGAGCACTGCAAGTCCACCAGCAGAACATACAGGATTTCCACCAAAAGTGTTAAACTGAATTTTTTGAGCCATCACACTCGCTATTTCTGGTGTTGTCACCACTGCCCCTAACGGTAATCCATTGCCAATACCCTGGCAAACATGACATGTTATGTAACAGGATGCAACCATCTCTAAAAGCAATAACAGAATATAGCTAGCTAAACCAAATGAGCATTTAAGTTTCAATGTTCAGAAAATTTAGTATAAGCAACAAAGTTTAATGACTAAAGACCTTTGCCATGGTAACTATGTCGGGAATGACACCTTGAGTCTCAAAACCCCAATAATGGCTTCCCGTGCGACCAAATCCTGTTTGTACTTCATCTGCAATGCAGACACCACCAGCCTTGCATATAATGTCATAAACCTGTTTCAAATATCCTGGGGCTAGTTCAACTGCTCCTCCAACTCCCTAATGTTAATAAAAATTTGAAATTTTCAGGACAAGTTTTATTGTGAAAAAAAAGAAGGAAGAAACACTTAAAGGAGACGATTATCAATTTAACCTGAATGGTTTCTGCTATAAACCCAGCAACTTTTCCTGAAGTACCAAACTCGATGTGATCTTGTACTTCTTTGGCATAACGAGTAGCATCAGAGCCAAAGACTCCACGAAAAGGATCTGGATTCATGACATGATGGATTTCACCCTGTCACATGCCATTTACAACATTTGAAAATCAGCATTTTAGTTTGAATGATTATATTGCTTAAATCAAGTTTGAACTTCAGAAATGAAACACGATCTAGCCCTAGTTGAACTTCAAACCTTAGATTCCAAATCAAGCACAAATTTCCTATAATTTGAGTTCGTTTGATCCAGTTACAACACCTCTACCTACTACTGGGCATGAGAATTTGGCCTTCCTAACATTGCAAAACTACACCAATTTCCATCGTTCCAAATTTTTTCGATGTCATCGACAAAAAATGACATCCTTGTTATACATAATCCAAGTAATAGTTAATTCAAAACAAATCATCAAAGAACTAGTGCATAGTCGTAAAGGGAATTTATATTGATTGCACAACTAAAATTGTTAAGATAAAGTCTGAGATACAAGCTCCAGGCTTGGAAACTAAGGCAAGTGCATTGTTGATGAAAAGTACAGGATAAATAAATGGAAAAGGCTATATACACTCATCTAATACACACAGTTGACAAATTCATTTAGTACATGCATTACAATGTTTTCTATTATAGACCCAAAACAATTTTAATACTTTTCGCTTCCCTTAGAATAAAGAAATAGATATATGTGAGAGCATCATTTTAGAGCAATATTTTAGTGCATGTAGTACTACCTAATAATAAAAACAATTACTCCACTCCCATGGGATAAGATTGTGAGCTGGATACCCATCAATAAACGTTGCTTCACTCTTTCCTATAAACATTAAAATATTGTGTTTTCCTTTTTCAAAAAAATACATTGTATACAATAATAAAAAGGAGCAATTTCGAGTGATAGAAAAATTTGCTCCCTAATCATAATTGCATCAAACATATCATGTGATGAAAAATATAACATCTAAGTTTTGCATGCATCAAATATGAGATAAGATTAAATCATCTAATTCTATCCACATTCTTATCTTATACTATCCTCTACAACTGCATATCAAATACATAGTTCACCATCATATTGAGCTAACAAGCAATTAGAAAAGAGGAACATATAAGTTATTCAATTATTTGAATGACAGCGTATCACTTCAAGCTAAAAAAAATAAGTTTAATGTCAATGGCTGCTAAGACAACTTAAACTTGAATTTGTGATACAATGCCAAGAAATGTATATAAGAAATACTACAACATGATAAGTATCCGAACCTCTGGTATTGGGTACTTCCATGTGTTTAGCGCAGTGAGTCCAATAGTATTAGAACTTCCACCGTGGTATGCATTTCTCAAGGAAATCATACCAAGACTACCAGTGTATAGCCTGGCCATCAGCATGGCTAACTCATTCGCCTCACTCCCAGAATTCACGAAATATACAACCTGAAAAGAAGGTTTATAAAACAATTCATCCCGAGACATAATTTAGTAATCAATTAGCCAAGCCTTTCTTTTCCAGTTATCTCCCCCATGAATACCAATAGCCAAACATTCTAGATTTTTTTACAATGATAAACAATTTTATTAATAACAGCAGTTGATTTGGTATATTGCTTCACTTAAAACTACGAAAAAAATCCGTAATCTTTCTTTTACTGAAAAATTATGAATTTGTTATAATTGCCTCTTTTCGTTTTTCCTTTAATCCAAAATTTTCTTTAAACAAACGAGGCAGAAATATTAAGAATCTAATAGTGCTTCACCAGAATAGAAAATAAAATAAAAAATAAAAATTGAAAACGAAAATTCAGCGAAGGAACAAGAAATTAACCTTGAGATTTCCAGGCATTTTGGAAGCTAAAGCCTCAGCAAAATCAGCAATCGCGTGATGGAGATAAATTGTGGTAGCATGCTGGAGAATTTTACTTTGCTCTACTATTGCATTCAGAATCTCCGGATGGCAATGACCACACGACACCGTTACGATTCCAGCAAATGCATCCAAATATCTCCTGCCGCTTTCATCATACAGATATTGCATTTTTCCTTCAACAATATTCAACTGAACACATTAAAAAAATCAATTACTGATGTACAAAACAGGAAAAAGAAACTATATGCACTGAAAAGTATAAAGAAAATAAAAAATAATGGACCGGCTTTTGGTAGTAGTAGAAGAGAGATGGGCCTAAGAACTTCTTCCGCTTCGCAAGGATTTCATCGGCCGATGGTCCGTTGTACGGTTTCGGATGGTAATCAAACGGTGGAAGCTGAGGTAGGACATTGTCGGACGCTGTACCGGCGGCGGCAGCAGAAGAAGAAGTGACCTTGGAGAAGGAAGAGCAGGTAGAACGTATACGGTTACAATTGAAGTTGAATCTGGCTTTGGCTTCTTCTAAGGTTCTTTTCAAGATTCTTCTCTGTAGCATCGCCATATCTCTTACCCAACAATTACCACTGATTCTTTCACTATCAAGAGAAAAGGGAAAGGAAGGTACTTATGAACTGTGTAGTGTTTGTTTAATTGATTAGCAAAAGAATTCAGTGGCGTCACGGCGTTACGTTTGGAGTGAAAGACAAAAAATAAGAAGGAAAGTGAAAAGGAAATGAAATTATATACCAACTTTAGGATTGTTATTTACGGAAATTGTTAAAAAATTATGAAAAAATAACTTAATTAATATTTTATTTTAAATAATTTTATTTTAAATAATATTTTATTTTATTTTACATAATTTAATTTAAATTACTTTTTACATAATTAATTATATAGATGATCATTTATGTTCGTGTTATGTTCACTTTTATTCATTGATTTTAAAAAGAGAAAATAACCTCAGTGACCGAAAATGCCTTATAATATACGATTTTAACTAACTTTTTTTGGATTTGCGAAAATGACCAACAAATTCGTAACGCGAACTCCAATTTCGTAACCCAGTTTCCAAATTCGCAACGCGAATATGTAAATCGCAACGCGAATCTGTAAATCGCAACACAGAAGTCAAATTCGCAACACAAAAGTCAAATTCGCAACGCGATAGTCAAATTCGCAACACTGAATTTCAAATTCGCAACTGAATTTCAAATTCGCAACTCGATTTTTAAATTCGCAACACAAATTTAATTTCGCAACAAGTTTTAGTTTCGCAACACAAATGTTTTGGGTATATAACTACGCAGCAGCAGCAACTCGTAACCTAAATCGCAACTCATTTCATCTCCATCTATCACTCTCTCCGGCGACATCCGTTTCTATATCCAACGACATCCTTCTCCATCTCTAATTTTTTTTTACATAATTTTATTTCTATATAATTTTTCAATGATTTCTCTCCCAAATTATCAACTATTAACTTAATAAAGATATGTTTTTCTCTAAGTTAGTGATGATATGTAGTTTATAGCTCGTTTGTTTAGTAAATTAATTTACAATTTGTAGAATGAAATCATCTAATGTTGACCATGTTTGGATAGATTTGTGTTTTGGAGGGTCATGAGAGAATGTTCATGGTGTTTTACAATATGTGTCTTTACCCATGAATCTTCAACTAAAACTGTCATTAAAAAAGTTAACTTATGAAACTCTAATGTTACGTGTTGCAAAGAAATTGAATTTAGAGCCTCTAAGTCGATTTAGGCTATCTTATTAGAGAAAATGTAAAGTTTATTTGTTAACCGACAATGAAGATGCTGAAAGATTCATTGCTTACATTAGTGTTTCGCAAGAAGATGATGTTACATTGTATGTTGTTGAACCTAGAAGTAGTGAAGTTGAGTCAGTAGCGGGTAGTAATCAACTAAGTTCTTTAACCCCAGTTTATGGTGCTCACAATGTACAATGTTGTTATCAATCTCAAAATTTAATGGTTCCACCACAATTTCATCACCAAGAAAATTTTGTTTCACCACATTTCCAATACCAAACACAATATCAAAACCCACAACCTTTTCCTAATCCAAATCCCAATCAACTTTCAACACCAAATTCCGATTTTTGTATTGACCAGTTAGACGATTATGAGCCAACAGAAAAAATTGTGAGTACTAGTCAGTATTCGAAATTTGATCTTGGTCAATACCCGGACTTTGATCTTGGTCAATACTCGGATTTTGATGACGTTTCAGAAGAAGAAATAGACCCTACATGTAATGATTTTGATATTGGTCAATACTCGTATTGACCAGTTGCGATTTTCATTTTCGTGTTGCAAATTTAAGTTTCAAAATCTATTCTTATTCTGCAAATTGAAACTTGAATGAATTGCATTACTTCAACCAAAAAACAAAGACAAATACTAACTTCACAGGGTTAAAGACTAAACATTTTAACAATATTGGCAGCAACCGAATGAATTTACTAAGCAATCTCAGTGAAATGGTTAATCTATATATATTGAAATTACCTGCAAATTTATCATCAATATAAGAAAAATCTAATAATAATACAAAAATTTCAAAATAAAAATAAGAGATTAAAAAAACTAACCATCGGTGGTTGATTTTTCATTTCTGACCGTGAATGGTTGTGAGGGATGCTCTAAGAGATGGAGATAGACGGATTTCGTCGGAGATGGGGACGGATGTCGCCGTAGAGAGTGAGAGATGGAGATGAGACTGAGTTGTGATTTAGGGTTTTAGGTAATGATTTGCGATAATACTGTTTACATTTGTGTTGCAAAATTAATATTGTGTTTCAAATTTGAAAATTAAATAAAATTCGCGTTGTGAAAATAAACGCGCTTTGCGAATTTGACTATCGCGTTGCGAATTTGACTATTGCGTTGCGAATTTGACTTCTGTATTGCGATTTACAAATTCGCGTTCCGATTTACATATTCGCGTTGCGAATTTGACTTTTGTATTGCGAATTTGACTTATGTGTTGCAATTTACAGATTCGCGTTGTGAATTTGGAAAATCGCAACGCGAATTTAGAAAATCGCAATGCAATTTACATATTCGCGTTGCGAATTTGGAAACTGGGTGCGAAATTGGAGTTCGCATTGCGAATTTGTTGGTCATTTTCGTAAATTCAAAAAAAGTTGATTAAAATCGTATATTGTAAGACATTTTCGGTCACTGAAGTTATTTTCTCTTTTAAAAAATATAAGATATAATCATTTTCATTTTTGTTTAGCTAATATATAGTCACATTCGTTTTTATTTAATTAAGACGTGATCATCAACGGGTTAACTGTTGTTAACAATAAATAAAATATGTGATGTGATAATTGGTATAATCTCACATTTAGTCCATATTATTTACATATTCTCTCAATTCAATCATACTTTTAAATAAATTTTAATTTTTCATAAATTAAATTAATGATGCTCAACATTACTTATCGTTAGTTGTGCTTAGTGATGCTTGTCGAACTTGAGGTACTTATTATTAGTGGTACTCAACGAATGCTCGTCGAGCCTGAATGACTTATCCAATTATTTATTATCAAATAAATAATTTTTGTTTTTAAATAAAAAAAATTGTTTATCCTCTAAAGAAGATAGTTAAAATTATCGGTTGATATATTTTTTTCTCTTAATGGATTCAATACTCATTAGAAAGTAAGATTCTCATTCCGCTCTCTTTATATAGAAATTATTATAGAAACAAAAAAATATTTTTATTTATACTATGAATAATTTATAAGTCATTTATTTTCTATATTTCTAAAATATAAAATAATTAAAATATTTTATGAATAATTTATAATTTAATAATAAATATTAAGGACGACACAAAATTTTATGTCGGGAATAAATTTTATATTTAGTAATTTATATTATAAGTTTAAGATATAAAATTAAAAATTTTTAGGAAGAATGAAAATAAATTAATAATAAAAAATTATAAAAATAATTAAATTATATAATATTTTAAAATTTCTATAGAATCTACTTCCGCCCTCTATCCATACATAAATATTATACATGTTGTGTTTAATTATTTTCATCATTTAACTTTTTATAATTTTTCTTAAAAAAAAACTTAAACATAAATTTCAAGAAAATAGAAATCGATTTATTAAGATAAAAACAAATTGTTTTAAAAACATTTTATATTATAAAAAAAATTACTTCGCTCCTTTTCAATTTTGAAGAGAAGTTAACCTACTCTTATAGAGTGTTTTTAAGATAGAAATATTGAATGAAAATGACATATTAAAAGTAACTTTTTCTTACAAAAAAATTATAATTAAGAAAACATAATAAGCCATTAAATAATAAATCAGAATCGATTAAATTTCAAATAACAATTAATGATAAAATTATTTGAATAAATGCTTCTATTTGCAATTGATACGTATCAATTAAAACTCTATCCATATTTGATGTTTATCTAAAAATTGTAAGGGTAAAGTACAAATTGTCACCTAATTATGGGGTATTGTTATATTAAGTCCATTGACCATTAAACGTTATAAAATGATTTTTTGATTATAAAATGTTATTTTATTAAGTCCCTTGACTCTTAAAAGTTATAAATGGTCATTCAATTATTTATTATGTTCTAACTCGTCAGTTTCCTTTGAAAAATTGATAGCATTTTGAGCTGAACGTTAATAATTAGATGACCACTTTATAACTTTTAATAATAAAAAACTTAATAAAGTATTATCTTATAGTATGGACCATCTGTGTACTTTACCCAAATTGTAATATGTAAATCCGGGAATTAAATTCAAATGACGTGGGATAGAGTAGATTCCGACGTATTAAAGAATTGAAATTAGACAATTGGATGGGAGCTGGCAACCATTAATAAAGGCTGGAGAACACAAATTACAAATTTCTGTGAATATTCTGTGGGGTTCCCCGCCCACATACCATTGCAGATAATATTAAATATTTCCCCCTTCAATTTAGTTAGGTTGTGCGCCTACTCTCAAGTATAATTTACTTGTATTTTGCTTCTTCTAATGCATGTATATTAACTAATTTAAAAGAACTAATTAAATATATATATATATATATATATATATATATATATATATATTAATTTGGATAAATATAAGACAGATAACTCTCAACTATTTGATATTGAATGTTCACACTCCTAATTTTCTTAGTGCTCAAACTCAAATTTTCAAAAAATAAAAATAATTCATTTACCAAAATTATTTAATTTGTGATATGAATAAATATTCATATATATATTTATGAGATTTGGATAATTAATATGAGATTTGATATTTGGGCCAAATAATTTGGTCAGATTATTGGGTCACAGCGAAAACATGTTTTGTGAAACGACCATCGAAAACATCTACTTTTGTTACGGACTCAAAATAAAGTAGCCTAATGATGCATGAAGAAACTGCAGCCAATTGACATCACATAAACCTTGTAGCTGTTTAATATTTTCTTTACGAATTCGTGTGTTGAAAGATGGAATTTGACCTCCGTATAAAAATAAAATCACTCCTTATCCTCGTTGGAGACCACACTACAATGGCTCATGACTGTAAGAGAATTTCAAATTGGAATTCAAAATCATCTCATAACAAACCACGACTCATAAGAATGCTTATGACCTTATTTCGATTAGTATTGCACATAAAAATGTCACCGTCCATTGGAGACAATCAATTTGCCCCTAATATCTTCTTTTAATTAATTTTGCTGTCATCGCGATACTCTTCGTCATTGCAATTGAAAATATAAAAGATAAACGTGAAAATTATAAATTTTATCGTAATTTTTCTCTTAAATAACCTCCTAAATAATCGAAGAACACAATGTCTACCCGGCAATCGAAATATCATGCTACTTCATTGCACCAATCACACATCGATATATGTACAATCCCCAACCATTTAAAAACAATCATGATGGTTCTCTAGAGACTACTCTTTTAATACTAGACATACATGCACACATAAGTCTTAGGTCATACCATTTTATGATGTTTTCGTGACACAAATTGACAAATGTTATACATTCTCTAGATCTTTACTTCAAGACACATTTTGTATATCAAGACAAGACCTCTAGATAATTTCTCTGTGGTTAAAGCCTCGAAATAATATCTCTGAATATATAATCTTAAGTGTTTTGCATCTCTTGGTAAGTCATGACCTCTTAATACAATCTTTGACGGAAGCACGTGAATTTTTTTATGGGTAAAATTACTAACAACCAACAATATATACTGGACATACTAACCTACGAGTAACCATCATAAAATTATTTTACCTTTCACTAACACTAAAGTCACTGTAAAATTTCTTAACCAAAACCGATTAAAAGATTCAAAACCATCATCTTCCCTTCTTCACTTCTTCCACTTTTTCCTTATTAAAACAAAGAATATGAACACCAACCACCATCATATAATTACCAAATTAAAAAGGATAGATTGTCTATTATCGTCAAAACCTTTTTTCCATCAATAATATTATATATATTATGATGAAATCAAATCAGAAGTTCTTTTTTTCGAATCGATCTCATGATTTAGAGATAACTGGAAGTGGCATAGATAACATTATAACCTTAGCACATCGAGAAGGCCTAAATCATATCGAGATAGTTCCAAAGATAAAGAAAATGTAAACTTCCTCGTGGATAAGGGTATGAGCCCTAACATGAATGAAACTTCAACATCAGTTTATCAGAAACGAACTTAACATATATACATACATTCTTACAGATGCTATTTAATACTCTCATGCTATTTGGGATCGTTGAATATCCTCAGACAAAAAATAGCACTCATTTCTTTATATTATTTCCTTTCCATTTACATCTCACATTTACAGAATAATACCCTCAACTTACAAAATTCGTAATTTACCCATTTCCCTGGTAAATAAGAAACTGCAGCCTGAGGTTAAACAAGGGGATTGCAGATGCTGGAATTTGAACCCAAACTTGCTTCTTAAGGGTATACATAAGGATATCGATCCTTAACAACAACAAAAGCATGTGGGGACTAATATGAACAAGAAAAGAAAAAGGAAACCCTGATTTTTTTTCACTTTCTCTTCCTTTCTCCCCCATTTTCTTTTAACAATTTAAGATTCATAGTTACATTTCAACTGTATTTTCTACGATTCTGACTACTTCCGAGACACTGGCATTGCAAAAGAAACATCGTTGGCAATTTAGAAGATGTCTAGTTATGCACACATAGCAAGACCTATGGGAACACGGTACGAACTGTGCATCAGCTTTGGAGGCGTAACAGATGCAGCACATGCCATCGTCGGCATTGGTTTCTCCACATTCAAGCTCCCCGATCTTCTTTGAATCACTATGGCTGATGAGGAGAGTCAATAAATTCTCTAGCGAACAGAGTTTAGGCATGTAGGCTTCTCCCCTGAAATATGTAGCCTGCAAAATGGTGTAAAGGAATCAAGACTATGAATCGAAACCTTGAGATGAAAAAAATTTTTTTCCTGGCTCGTTAATGGAGAAAAAGAAAGAAAGAAGAACTATTGGAGATATTTGAGCTAACAATACTAACCCAATTGTACTCTAACATGTACAGCAAACCATAATGCATAGTTTTGGGGCAATCCATGTTTGCAAACACATCCACAATATTATTCCGTTCCTTGAATTCAGTGTCCATACTAGCATCCAACAAATTCACAATGATCCCTACTAAAGGGGCTAATATCATGCCTCTGTTTACTTTCTCTAAAGATTGACCGTGCTGTCTAAGTGACCTGTAATTAAAAATGCTGATAACATGAGTAAAAAGAACAAAAGCAGGTATTTTTAAGTACAATGCTTTTCACATACTAATTAACAAGTCATACTGTTATATTTAGTTCAACTAATTACAAAGCAAGGTTGTAAGAATAGTCGGTTCAAACATCTGAGGGAAAAAATCCAAAATGTGAAACTTTCAACGAGTCCACTATCATATTTAAGCGAGGAAAAAAAACGCCGGCTAAATATAAACCTATGCTGCTCCGACTAGTTTTCTTGAAGAACCTGTATCCAACACCTGTGTCCGACATTTTCGAATATGGGTATAGGAACATGATCCCCGAAAGACTTTAAATACAAGGAAAAACTTGTGTTGGGGGGTGCGGTTACACTGAAGATACCAAAACCTAGTTCCCAAGTCCAAGTAACATAGCACAAAAGAAAAATGAAATACAAGAACCAAAAATAGAGTTCATCAAACGACTAGCATGCAACTTCTTAAAAGGCAATCAAGTAACATATTGACTCTCCTTATATGACAGATTAGATCATTAACGTGGAAAGTTATTGGGATATTGGACATTATAATTTAAAAAGAAAAATGATAGACATAAAAAATAGATCAGCCAGGTAACAACTTACAAGTAAAAATATTCAGCATCTGCTGCTGAAGTTACGTAGTTCAGAATGAAGACAATCAACTCAGTCAGTCTTCGAAGGTTTGTATCAGGCCCTGAGAGGAATGCTTGAGGGATCACATGGGTACAAAACTCCAATACCCTTGCAAGATTACACGAGAGATCAAATATGACACAACATTTCCTCTGATGAAACTCCAATACCTGCAAAAGCAGGTGTAGAACATCAAATATAGATCCTAAGGAAGATGAGTTCAAATGAAATGAAAAAGCTGCGGCTACCTCACATATGGAATTTACATTGCATACTGACAAAATGTTATAACCATCAACTTAAATGGCATATGTATAAATAATAATTTTTCCTGTGATGAAAGCAGTATAACTTCAATTCTATGACAAAGTAGAGGGAGATCATTATTAGACATATTCCGAGGAGCTGCAATTGTGAGGCTGTTACTTTAGCTAAACAGGGGATTGGATGATGAATGAAGGTTGCTTTAGAGGTTTTGCAGTCGGGTTGGTGGTCTATTGAGGTTGTTGGGGCTGAGTCAGTTTTGGTGTTGTTTAAGGGAGTTCTGGTCGCATTGGGGTTTTGCTTTCTACGTTCTGTAATTTTTTAGGTTTGTTATTTTGTCTTATGGCTGTATTTTATGTATTTTGTCTTTGATGAATAAAATCCTAAGGCACTCTTTTCCACCTTCTGCTGATTAAGGAGCTTTCCTAAAAGATCCATTAATCAAGAAGGGGGTTTTTAATGAGGCCTGAAATTCTTATAAAAAAAAAATGACAAAGTAATGCAAGTCATTTACAATCTTGCAGATGCTAGGTAGAAAATATATAAATAAGGTCAAACAGTTAGATAAACATTAGCAGGCTATAAACAAAACTTCAAACTGGAACCCACCAAAACTTCAAACTGGAACCCACCATAGATGACTTTTTAACCTAAATGTTATTCGGCCATCTTTGAACCATCAGAGTTCATAATGACCAGCATTTCTAGCAATTCAAAAAAGAAACATTTCTCTTTTCTATTTGAAATATTTGCTAGATGATTCGTCTAAAATAAAGTTCTTTGCCTGCCCCAGTCATTGTTATCTCAGATCTTTTATCTAAAGTGAAAGTGATCCTCAATATCACCATAAATTCTCTCCAAATTCATCTGCACACCGTACATCTCAAGCCATCCATTAAATACAAAGAAAAAAATCCAAGCTACGTTTTCAAGTAGAACTAAACTACCACCGATCCTGTTAGGTTGCTTTATAAATTTAGAGGATGAAGAAGGCATGTTTATAAATTCACCTTTTTGTCATGTATTTGGATTTGAGAGACCATGACATACTAGGCAACAAGAAAAGACAGCGATAAATATTACAATCTCTGGATCCCATACATTTACCATACAAAACTTATTCCAATCTGGAAAAGGTAGTAGCCTTTAATAACAGCAATTCAGTTTCATGGTTAGGAACTACGCATCATAAGCCTTTTTCCCAGGAACATTAGTGTAACCATTTTCTTTTTTCTTTTTTATCCTTGTTGCCTACTTAATGAATGTTGTAGAAAAATGGTCAACAATGCATATACAAGTCTGGAAAGATGCAAGTCCACTAAACTAGGATCCAAGTTGGTGATAAAAAATAGTCTATATGCAAAACATAAATACACAAATTCAAAAAGACTTAAGTAACAAAAGAAAATTTGTTTGAATGAAAGCATAATCATACCTGGTATTTTTCTTGCATTCCCCGAATGGAAACTGAGAATTCAGTCATTGTCCAGCTGAGAGTGTTAAATAGACGATTGAGAAAAGCTGAGAACAACTCTTCATCAGATATGCAAGCTTCACGCAGCAGTCTCTATAAAAATATAGGGGGGCCATAGGGAAAAGTTAGAAAGAGAAGTGATTTCAGATGAAAAGATGGATAAGAAGCACTAGTAATGAATGGTTCACACTATTCACCTGAAAAATAACCGAGGATGATGAAGATTCTCCGTGCTTTGAAGAACCAAACCCATAACCTTTGCAGAGACGTAAAAGAATGTTTGTAACCGGAATCCAAGATCGGTTATCAAATGCTGACAATAATGCCTTTGGCATTCTCTGTTTGGCCAGTTCATTGTTCTCAAAAGCTGCCAAACACTCTCTGTACTGCACTAAACTGACTGAATGTCACCTGATAAAAATAGAAAGAAAAAAAGAACTCAGATAACAACTCAAAGAAGAAAATATATAAAGTCTTTTCTTTGAGCTTATGCTACAGATTTCAAAAACAATAAGGCTACATGCTTCATGGAACTCCAAATACAATGCTATTGAACAGAACAAATCAATTTCATAACAACCACAAACAACAAACATAATAGAAACTGATTATTACAGTTCAAAATGCATATTATGCCACATATTCTAAATATTTAATAAACCATGTTCATACTGGGAAAACGAAGTTGTTAATCATATAAAAATTTATCCTAGTAATCCAACTTCAAACACAACCATATATGAGAAATAAGGTACATTTCCACTCAAGTGCCCATACTAACAGGCAATACAGAAGTATCCATTTCCATGTTGCAAGATAAGTGTCGATTGCTGAAATGAAGAAATGGAAATTAGCAGGAAGTGAATCATTAAGGGGTTAATAGCTTAGCACTATTATTGATCTCTATCCAGGGAATATTTTAACAGTCTTAAAAACCTGGAGTCAGTAAATAATTGCAGACCAGCCAAAGAAAGTCCTAACAAGCAAAATACATATTACACTTAATGACCTATTCCTTTGTGCAGCACAATGGACACATGAAATAAGATCAGATGAAGATTCAGAAGATCACACTTTTCCTTTGCGATGTTTATTTTTTTTATAAGAGTTATAGGCCTTGTTAAAAACCCCCCTTCATGATTAATGGAGCTTAGAGAAGCTTCTTAATCAGCAAAAGGAGGAAAAGAGTGCCTTAGAATTTTATTAATAACAAGAAAGATACATAAACAATTACAACACCCACCAGGTTCCCTTTGCGATGTTTATGACACTTTCATCTACATGAACTAACTTTTTCTTTATAGAATAGTATAAGAATGATGCAACTTAAACTAAAATGGTAAAATCCAGCAAAAGACTGATCGAAACGAACTCTCATGAGAACATATAGTTGATAACTAGGTGAAGAACAAAATTCAGAACTCCAAATTATGGCAAACAACGATATCAATCAATTGGCAGAACGTACAAATGAAGTAAGCCCTTGCTTGATATTGCAGGCGAGACAAATGGAGGATCACTCTTACGCAAGACATGAAAGCAGTCAACCTGAAACAATAACCAGAAAAATTACTACTAATCAAGTAATAGAAGTGGAAAATAGACAAAGTACACCACATAATAATTTGTAATGCCTACATTCCAATTCAAACATACTGAATATCTTGTATTAGCAGATTATAGAACATTACGCGCATGAGTGAAAAAAAAAACTTAAAAAGGTGTTTTGAAAATAAAGATTTAAAAAAAGTGTGTAGTTTCTTTAAGTGAGATTTTAAAAATGGTAGCTTTTTAGAAGTAAATAAGTAATTCTTTGAAAATAAAATATCCCATTTAGTTCCTTTAATTTAATTTTTTTTTTGTACTTTCACCAACTCAATGTAGATATTTTATATGCAGTATTAGATATATAGAAACTGATTGGAATAAACTTATCATTCTTCAATATTTTACCACAAACTTCTATTTAATAGTAATATATGTGGAAGCACGGAGAGAGAGTAGACACTCAATAAGCCTCAATTAAAACTAAAACAATATGAGTGAGAAAGATAGAGAGAGACAGAGAGTGCTTTAGGTAGTTCATCCTCCGGTGAGGAATGGACTGTTTTTGTTGACAATCTTAGTAAGAGAGTTACTAGAAGTGAATTAAGAGAGATTTTCAACCATTATGGACGAATTGTGAGGGTCTTTATTCCATGTTTTATGTCAAACCGAATATTAAATAATCCACGTTTGCTTTTGTGCAATATGCGATGGAGGAATGTTGCAGAAGAGCATAACAGAATGTCAATGGAACGCTGATTGATGGGAAGAGAGTCTCAGTGGGGGTTGCTAAGTATAAGAAGGACAGGAAAAAAGAAGCAGAGGAGAAAGATTGCAGTTTGGGGGAAACAAGTCGGAGAGGTCAATGGTAGGCAACAGGATGTTCTGGAGAAACCGTGGAATCTGAGAGATGGCAGAACGTATAAGGAGGTTTTGAATGTGGATAACAGTAGGAGATTGGATCAAGATCTAAAGGAAAAAAGGGGAGGTCAGAAGGAAACAATGGAGTAAGGAATGTATGGGATATGCACATTCCATCAGAAGATTCATGCTAGGTGAAAAACTCTTTAACAGGGGTTATCAAAGATCCCTTACAGCCTCATTTGGTGATAAAAGCATTGGCAAAGGAGGGATTCCAGGTCAAAATAGTAAGGTGGGGATACGTTAGGAACGTCACTATTATTATGTTCAATACAAATGAAGAGTTTCAAAAGGCATGGTCGAGCTGTCGAGAGAAGCTTAACTGTTGGTTTGATTGGGTAGCTCCATTGTTAAATGAAGATGGAGTTCCTTTGGCTTATTGCTTGGTCGAGTTGGTTGGTTTACCTCTTCTTAGATGGAGTGAACCTTTTCTGGAGAAGCTCGGAGGAAAGTGGGGAAAGGTTGTTAATATCCCCGGGGAAACAAGAAATAGAGAGGACCTCTCTTCGGCTAAAATGTTGCTAAGGGTTGCAAGTCCATTTGATGTACTCGAATCCATTACAGTGGGATCATATGGTAGATCCTTTAAAGTTAAAGTTAATGTGGGTCTGTCTTGTAATGCAAGTTCTGATACGAATGGAGACGAGTTGCAGAACTATTCAAATGATGGTTACAGTGTTGATTTTTCAAAGCAGGACGACGGAGGAGATGCAGGGAAGGAAGAAGACAATCGGGGAAACTCAGATGAGGGAGTTTGGTCAAAGTTGGGCACGTGGGTACACAAAAGTCAAGAAAGTGGGAAGATGGAGGAAAGTGGGGAACATTCTTTGGAAAATTATTCTCACACGCAACTCAATAATAAAGGGGTGGAAGACAAATTTGAATTAAGTCCTAATAGGGATTATGCGGGTCTTGGGCTACGAGAGGTAATGGACCAGGGTAGTTTAGCCCAATCTGATTCTAATTGGGAGTCTTATTCCCCAATTACTAAATTAATTCCTACTGGGCCTGCTGTAAAATTGAAATGTGATGGGACAAAATTTCTACCTAAGGTACAGTCTCTTTCCGAATCAAATGAAGAAGATAGTTGCATCTTAATAAAGGAGAATAATGAGGGAGTACACGCAGTTGAGTTAAGTGTTCTTGGTAAGCAAGTAGAAGGTAAACTGGTAAAGGAGGAAACCATTGTATTCAATTACAAAAGTGATAAAAGGTGGAAACTGGGATTTCCTGTTTCTAAATGTTTGACTATAAAAGTGCACTTGATGGAATGAGGGTAGAACACGTTATGCTAGAGTGTACAGAAGAACAAGAAATAGAAGAATTTGGTTGTGTTCGAGTATGGAAGAAGAAGTCATTTGTTCAGAGGAATTCTGAATCAAAAACAGAATATGTCTGAGCTTAGAATTAATCACCAACTACCTCCGAAAATTAGTGGATGTGATCAGGACAAGGAAATTATATGTTCTGTCAATTTTCAGGGTACAACTATTGTTCCCCTAAATCGCAGCGAATGTTCAGAAAGTGTGGCAGCAGTTCCTTCTAACAATCCAGGGTCAAGGAGAGAACATAGAAGAAAGAAAAGGGGCATAATCACTGAAGCCATGGACTTGGTGAATATTTATACTGCTTCTTCATTCACATTTTTGAAGTTGGTGGAGAAAGCATTGGCTACATGGCAAGTCTGTCAAATGTTAGGTATTTCTTTCAAAGAAGGGAATGAGGCTTTTATTGAAAAAATTCTAATGCTTGAGAAACATTCAGAGGTAGTAAGGGAGGCTTGATTGTTGGTCTGTATTTGCTGTTTTCAGTATTGGTATTTTGCTGTTTGGGGGTAGATTATTTATATGCATAAACTAAGTATTTTATCATGGAACATAAGGGGACTTGGGAGAAAGGAAAAATATGTAGCAGTCGCAAGGAAAGTAAAGAAGTTAAACCGGTTTTTCTTTTCATTCAAGAATCTAAATTGGAACAAGTCCATGTGTCGATTACTAGGAGGATAGGGGGTAATTTGCTAAAGGGAGTGTTGGTGTCTCCAGCTCAAGGTTCATCGGGGGGTTGATTACTCTGTGGAATGAAAGTGTGGTTCAAGTCATACGCCAGCATGTTCACACTAGGTTCCTGGCCTTAGTGGGGAAAGTGATGAATGGTCAAACGGAGTATGTATTTATTAATGTTTACGGGCCCTCTATCGAATCTGAAAAGGAAGAATTTTTTGGGGAGTTGCTGTAATATGTATTGGCTCACAATTTGCCAGAGGAACTTTCACATGATGTAACAATAGAGAATCTTCAACATGGGTCAGACTAGATCGGTTCCTAATTTGTGCCAGATTTCTTAACAGTTTTCCTCATGTTGCACAATGTATGCTACCGAAATCAATTTCAGACCACAATCTCGTTTTATTGGAGGATATTTCTATTAATTGGGGACCTAAACCTTTTAGGTTATTTAATTTTCTTTTAGAAGAACAAGGATTTGATGAGTTGGTTGAAGAATCACTGGCAGTGGAGAAAATGAAGAAAAGTAGAGGGGGAATTTTCAGGTGTTACAGGCTGCCAAAAATAAAATCAAAAACTGGTCTGGAAGCAGTCATAGAGGGCTGGCATATACCATATCACCGCTGGAATTTAAAATTAATGATTTGGACTTAAAATCACAAGGTGGAAGTTTGTCTTCAGGGGAGTGGGATCAGCTGATTGAATTTAAAAAAGAGTTATGGAGGCTGCTGAGAATCGAGGACAGGATCTGGTTTCAGAAGTCCAGAACTATATGGATTAAAAATGGAGATAGAAATATAAGGTTTTTTCACCTTAATGCTTTGAAGAGAAACAGGATTAATACCATTCATTCATTGAAGTCTGAAGGGGGAGTAATTTCAGATCCAAAACAGATAAAAGCAAGTGTGTTCAACTTTTTCAAGAATGCT